CCCCAAAACCCCAAAACCCCAAAACCCCAAAACCCCGAGGCAGGGGTTGTTGATTGAATTGATTTCTTTGACTGTTTAGTGTATTTTTAGCTTTTTAATAATTATAGATATTAAGGTTGAGCATAGACAGAAGATAACTGCTCCAGCAATGATTAAGATAATATGTTTTGAGGAAAATCCGGCAGTCCGCAGCATTTCATGCTAAAAACTAATATTATTCACTTGATTGTAATTTTTAAAAATTATTTGAAGGGATTAAATTTTTTTGGCAAAATTAGAACAATTTTTTATACCTTTATATGCAGTGCTTGATCATTCTTAGCAGAGACACTAGAATTCTGATAATTTCCGTCTTCAATTTTTTCTAAGAATTTAAAATCATTAAGATCAGAATTTTCTTGAGTGGACAAAATTGCATCAAGGCCGCTAGCTTCAAGATTTGTAAGTTTTATCTTATAATTGCCTGAAGCAACATTCCAGAGCCTGATAGCACAGGGCTCAGCCAACATTAGGTTTTCTGTTGTATAATCTGTTATAAAAAATGTTGAAACGATGTAACCTTGTAGATATAATCTAATCTTAAGAAGATCACTTGGTTAGATAATCTGAAAGTCGCATTTTTAATAATGACAGAATTGCTAAAATATTGTAGATTCTATCATTATTTCACTTAAAAAGTGGGGTTTACAGATTATCCAGCCAAATGATCTTCTTAAAATTAGAAGATAGTGCAAGGTTACATTCTTTCAGCTTTACTATACCTCATCAATTCTATTTGAAATGAGAATGTATGCTGATAAAAATCGTCAATGTTGCAAATATAAGAGTCAAATTTATCAGAATTGATGCAAAATGTTAACCTGGATGAAATATTGAATGAAGCAAGGCAAACTCTTACGATGGCCAAATTTGATCATACTTGCAAGAATTGAAAGTATCACACAGGAGTAAATGTCTTCCGTATTGCACCTTGAGATTGAAAATAATTTTGTTCTAAAAAGCATGGCTTCAAGGAGAAGAGTAAGCCCACAGAAATACTGATGAGACTTCTATGAGCCTCCTTCTTCCTTTTAGAAGCCGCTTAAAGATTCTCAGAGGCTCTTGAAGCATCTATGATGGGCTTACATTAAGTTACAAAAGTTTTGGAGGATCCAACAAGCAGGTTATGCATATTTCTTTAGGATTTGACAATTAGTCTTTTCAATTGAGAAAATTATAAAGGAGAAGCTAAGTTCAAGTTTTATTGTATTTTCTATAAGGATGAAAGAAAAATGACTCCTTCTTATTTTGCCTGAGTTCTACTATTAGTGTTGATATTTCGAAGAACGAGTCATCTCGCTCATTTTTACAGAAAATGCAATAAAAACTTTCATTTAGCTTCTCCCTCAAAGTTTCTTTTAGTTGAGAAGACTAATCAACAAATCCTGAAGAAATTTGAAAAATTTACTCATTGGACTCTCCAAAACTTTTGGAACTTAAAGCAAGCCCTATCATAGATAAGTTGATAGCCTATGAGAATTTTTATGAGGCTTCCAAGACGAAGAAGGAGTTTTACAGGGGTTTCCTAGTCTGACCAGGATTTCTATGGGTTCATTCTTTTCCTAGAGAGCATGCTTTTTAAAACAAAATTATTTCCAATTTCAAGAGGTAGTAATCACTTGTATCTGTTATTTGATCTGAACATTGAGTATCGTTCCAACTTCCACAATCAAGTGAGTACTCAAACTCTCCACAGCGGTGTTTAACTTCAGGATCCATAGCATCTCTGCATATTTTACTGCCTTCTGTAGCACACTGATAGCATTGTTGGCCACTCCCAATTTGGTATTTAGCAAGAGTAACAGCTGCTAGTGCAAACAATAAGATAATAACTCTCATTTTTTATAATCTTCAACTGGAGGGATATCAAAAGGGGTTTTGGGGTTTTGGGGTTTTGGGG